CATGGGACCACTGGGACTGATCCCCGCCTGCCTCCACCTCCCCTCCCCAAGCAGCCCCAACTTTCCTGGACTCACTGCCAAACCCCCTACCTCCCTGCTGGCTCTCTGTGTCCCCCCCTCCCCCCAGTCTGACTCATCTCCTGCCCTCTCCGACCCACTCTATCTTCGACTGGGGACTCACGAGCAGCCATCAGCAACAGTCTCCGTGTCTTCACTGACGATTCCCTGCTCTAACCCTGGACTTCAGGACACGGTCCCTAACAGCCATCTCACACAGCAGGATGGGTTCTTCCCTCTTACTCCTCTTTGCCAACCCTGGACCACTTCCCCCAGACTTTCCTCAAGCCCCTTAGAACATGGGTTGGCAAGACTATGGGCCAAGTCTGGCCCACCACCTGTTTTGGTACAGTCTGTCAGCTAAGCATGGTTTTCACATTTTTTAATGGTTGGGGGAGAAAAAGTCTAAAGAATCTTCCATTACATGTAAAACTCAAATCTCAGGGTCCATAAATAAAGTTTCACTGGAAGGCAGCCATGCTCATTCGCTTACCTGTTGTCCATGGCTGCTTTTATGCTACAAAGGCAAGAATTCAGTTGCGCAGTTGCAGCAAAGACCGTCTGGCCCACAAAGCTTAACATATATATTATCTGGCCCTTGACAGAGAGTTTCCAACCCAGGCCTCTGACACGTGGGAACAGTCTGTACCATCCACTCCCAATCTGTTGTCATCATCCACTGCCCGCCACGTCACTCTTCCGTGTGTACTGAAATGCACGTGTGACTGAAAGCTAGATGGCACAACTGCTGACGTCAGTGACTAAATGAAGTTCAGAGCTACCTCTGTGGGCTGGGATGCTGTGTGGAGATCAACAGGATGACACTGAAAGTTCACGTGTTATAAAGTCCCATGCCACGCTCATCACCAGAAAGACTGACATACAAGAGCAGGAAGATGACCTGGTGTGTGCTGACAGAGGTCAGAACCAGGATGAACAGAGAAACATTATAGGGAAATTTTATCCATACAACGAAATGCTAAGCAATAATAAGAGTTGTAACGTTACCGAGCACATTTAGGTCAAATGACTTTCACAATGAGCTGAAAAGTTGAAGGAGAGGATGGGGTGTTTCAGGGAGGAGAGTGTCTTGAGCCTGAGGGCACAGAAAGTGCTCCTGCTCTGGGCTAGACAACCCCGAAGACTTTTTAGTCCGAACATTAGAGACGATTAAAATTTAAACCAGAGTCACTGGCTTCTTGGCTGATTAGATGCTAAGTAATAATTTTCTTGGTAAAATATGAAAGCATCCAACATTTCTCTTCCTTCCAATCAAATCTGTAGATTTTAACTGCAAAGATAAAACACAGTATGGCACACACAGTCACAAAAGGTACTTGTGGGTGGCAGGTGACCAATACACTCATACCTTATTTGGTAAATACTTGGCGTGGGGTTCTACTTTTTTAGAAGCTAAAGCAAAGCAATGTGAGTTTACAGCCTTATTAGTCCTCAGAATTAAAGCACACAGCCTGGCAGGCCTTGGTCTGTAAGAAGACTTGGCAGATTTTTTTTCTTTTTGATTCTCTTCGAATTTTCATATTTACTTGACTAAAAATACACGGAAATAAACTGGGAGTTTGGGATTGGCAGACATAAACTACTAAGTAGAGAACAGATAAACAACAAGGTCCCACTGTATAGCACAGGGAACTATTCTCAACGGCTTTAGTAACCTATAATAAAAAAGAAACATAAATATATATGTGTGTATATATATACACACACACACACACACACACACTATGCTGTATACCAGAAAGTAATACAACATTGTAAATCAACTATCCTTCAATTTAAAAAAATACATTAAAAATACACACCTACATAGTATGTAAGTCAAACTGCCTCTCTAAAAAGTCAGACGTGCAAATCTCACTTAGGGATTATGTTTAGGAACGGTAAGTTGGGAAACGATTGTGTATGATTCAGACACTGAGAAGCGAAGGCCAAAGACTTGGATTCCCCCCCGTGACTCAGCCCCCTTGTCCTGCGATGAATCACATGGCGCCAACCCCCCGACTGTTTTCTCATTTGTAATGGGAAGATAAGAGCACTTGTCTTGCCTAGACCCTGCAGAGAATCATCATGAGAGTTCAAGAGACACAGAAGGACCATCTGCGTGCAGAGTGCTATTATATACCTTTTAGGACAACGTGAATCTCTTTCCAACCTATAACATAGTTCCATCTTGTTTTCCAAAGTTTTGGCATTCATTGGATCACAGAGTTACAAAATCCAGCCTAAAATTCCTCCTACGCGGCGGAGGCAGGGCGGCGGAGGCAGGCGTGTTGCTACAAGTATGGGGTAAGGAGGGCCAGAACGTTCACAGAGATGAAGAGTAATCTAGGTCAGGCATGCATCTGTGTCTTTCCAGGTCTACAGGGAATCGAACACAATGAACTTCTTGATTCTAAGGTAGCGTTTGGAGGCACAGATGTTGGGCAGGTGACTCAGCTCTACGTGCAGGAATTGTTTCCCAGCTTCCTTCTCGCCACCCTGCCCCTCTGCCAAAATTATACTGTCATTCTGGGGCCACGGGGCAAAAATCCCTTCAACAGGCTTCGCGGATGAAGCCCCTTCATAATCATCAATCTTGAACCTGTTATCTTTCTTTATAAGCGGGAAAGTGGATTTTTCTAAAACAAATGCTATGAAATTTACATCAAAGTAATAATTTCAGTAAAATGAAAATCAGTCGTATTTGGAAACACCGAGACAGCAGCATTTGGAGGAGCACCTGCAGCCTCCCGTTCCGGATCCCACCAAGCCCAGAGCCTCGAAACCATCAACTGTGCCCAGGATGGTCCACCTCACTGCTGTTACCTTTGCCGACATATCACAAGGTGTTGTCACCTGAACTCACAACACACAGGCCTTTGAGACGTGTGACAGCAAGAAACAGAAAAGAAACAAACTTGACATCAGTCAGCCAGAGCAGAAGAACCCCGAGATCTACTGACAAGGCCCCCTAACTCCTGCCCTTAGCATCTTCGGTGGTTTTAAGTAGAGGTTTTTCATCCCAGGGTGTACACTTTGCTCAACTCTCCCCATGTCATTTTCTCAAGCAATTAGCCAGAAGCAGTGCCAGAGAGTGCCTCCAGGGTCCTTCGAGCATTGCTTGAGTTTCCTGAAGATGTTAGATCACTAAGTTCAGTGTTCACAGTGGACTCTCTCACACCTCAATCTGTTCAGAAGTTCTGGTCTTCTTTTCACTAAAATAGAGCTTCTGGTATGCAGACTCTTAGAAATAGCAAAACCAACACTGAAAGCGAGGGGACAGAGAAGAAAGATCCAGGGAAGGACACTGAGGAGGAACAATCAGAGAGGTACCCTGGAGACATTCAGAGACATAGTCACCAGGAGTGAACTGTACAGAAGCCACATACAAGTGGAGTCTCATGACCACCACAATCATTCTTTTATGATGCTTGCATAACAGGGATGTCCAAGCTGATAGGGACGGCAAACAAAAAAGGAGAGGAAGAGGGAAGAAAGCTGAAGGGGAAGACCAATCCTACTTGCAAAAATTTGTGTAAAAATCCTAAATAAATTAGTATCGAACAGGATTCCAACAGCACGTTTCAGAAAAGAACACATCACGACCAAGTGGGTTATATTCCAGGAATGCAAGATGGTCAAAGGATAAAAAGAAATGAATTAAACAAACAACTTACAAATCCAGAAAAAAAACAACAAAGTAAACTAAAAAGAAGATGAAACAAAGGTGTCAACATGGACCATGCCTGGCACGTCACTCTCAGACTGAGGCCCTCCTCCTCCTTCTGCAATAGGAGGCACCCAAAGGCACAGGCTGGCTCATGCTCCAGTGACTCCACGACTACCAGACTGCTCTGGGCACTTCCTGGTAGTGGCGGGGGTAGGTGCTTCCTTCGGGAGGGAGAGGAAGGGACATATCTTGATAGCTCTCTTAACTCATCCCACTTATTCTGCGTTATGCTCTTCACCATGCAGCCACCTGACCCACATCTGGCTCCCAGGTGGATCTCCATGATGGAGGACAATGATCTGGCCAAATGATGTGAGCAGGGCTTCTGCCAGCCAGCAGCAGGGAGCCTGCACTGGAATCAGTACATCAGTCAGCCCCGGTGGACCCGGCTGGCATGGACTGGTCCACAGAGCCCCGTTGTCCTAGTAAACTGAGAGCATCCATTTAGGACAAGATGACTGGACGCAGACCCCAGAGCAGCATGGCTGCCCTTTTGCCACACCTCTGCTTTATGGAAGCACTTCTGAGCTCCTAGAGATTCTGTCCAACTTTATATTTGGATATATATAATTTCTCATGGGATTGTTAATCTTTCTGTTTCTTCCTATGTCCTTTCTTCATTCTTACTTTCTCCCAGCCCAGATGGGAGGTTCACAAGAATGGAGAGCATACCTTTTCCATTTACATGTGGTCATGACTTCAGATACTCCTGGCCTATAACAGACACTTAACAAAAATGTTTGCTGTATGACTGCTGAATAAATGATACATTAGAATTTACTGAAATTATATATATGTACAAAATATATAATAATACTTAATTATATATTTATTCTACTCAACCTCAACTATATATTGTCATGAGTACCTGTCACATTCACGTGGCTTACCATTTATTTCTAGGTCAAAGTTTTGTGTTTCAGATTTTCTTCCAATTGATAAAACAGCTTTTCTAAATAGATATTAACTGAGATATTGTATAAAAACACAAGTGAGTGAAGAAGAGTTCATGGGGTTAGTAAGATCAAATCTGTGCAGGTCACTAGGGCCGTCTCGCCCAGGGGAGTGCCAGGGGCGCTGGGCGGTGTTTCAGTGGTAGAGAAGAGGCGGGGAGCTGGTGGGGCAGGGATGGCCGTGGGCGCCTTTGGGGGCGTGGCCTGCCTCCCTCTTTTCGGTGTCCTTGCGCCCCCTGGATGGCTGGGTTAGTGCTTACTTTTCGCGGAGATCTCGCACTTGACTGGACTTGAAGCCGGGAGCCGAGGTGGAGCAGGGGCTGGAGGGAGCGGACAGAGGACTCCGGATGCTCTGCACGGAGTGCCTGCGGCTGCGCCTGCGGTCCAGGCCCCGCTGCTCGCCCCCCGAGCCGCCGCCGGAACACACGCTGGCCCTCCTCCGGTCCCGCCGCCCGCTGGGGGGCGGCTCCGCTGTCTCATCGCTGTCCTCGTCCTCGTGCCGGAGCGCCACCTGAAACAGCAGAGGGCACCCAGTGCAAGGTCAGACTTGACAGCCTCTCTTAGCTTTTCAGTCTGGCCCTTCACGAGGACTTAACACTGACTCCTCCCAGCCTGGGCTTCCGCTTCTCTGCAAGGCTATCATAGTCACAGGTAACCCAAAGCACAGTCGGCAAACTGAGAGATGCTCGCCACTCACTGTGGATTTTCCCAAATGGATACGAAAGGTCAACCGATGTCAGGGGTAGGTCTGAGAAATAGTTTGTAATTAGCTGGGCTCTTCCCTCTGTGGCCGGGCACTGCCCTTGCCGGGGTCCTCGCTCCTGGCCCACCCTTTGCTCTTCTCTGGACCAGGAGGCGGCGTCTCCCCGGAAGCCCAGCGGGGGGAAGCCCTGGAGTTCCACACCATGCCGGAGCTCCCTTCCCAGTGAGGCTGGTCCGAAGAGCATAGCAGAGATTCTGGTCAGAGGCAGGAGCCGCAAGCTCCAGGTGAGTGGAAACGAGTCATCAGCGGGTCTCTGGAGGGGCCTGGTGCAGCAGGACCTGCACCGCGGACCCCGGGCCACCGCCCTCCCCGGGGACTGCCCACAGCCTGGGTACCGTGGGGGTGGGGCCTGCAGTCACTCTAGGCAGCCTGCATGTGCAGTCACAAAAATACAGACCAGAAATAGACTAGACCTCTAGGATTAACGTGGTTTTTTTTTTTTTTTTTGACTTCCTAACAGCAATGCATACTTGTGCAGAAGAATAACTGCCTTACACTTGACCACTTCAGCTTTCACGTGGAAACCTGAGCCAAATGTCCCCAGCCTCCTACCCCCTTTCAAGGGATATCGCAGCCCTGCTCCTAGTTGGGTGGTGCCCTGTCCAGTCTGGCCATCTCTTAGTCTCCTCCATCCTGGATCCTCCAAACAGCCCTCTCCTTTCACATTAACACCAACCATCTGTGCTCCTACACAGATCTCCTTCTTGCTGGCTCCCAGTCTTCCTAGTCCTAGGTGCTAATCTGTATCTCCAGCTTCTCTAATTATTTTTATGCCTACCTTCTCAAAAGCTAGACCTCCAGAAGAACACACACTGTGGACTAGCCCTGTGTGTGGCTGGCTGTGCCACTAACAGACCAGACGTGACCTGCGTCAAACTGCTGTCTCTTTCTCCTTCACCAAAGGAGCCTCACAGGATCACATTTGTAGGTTTCTGGTAAGAATAACATATCTAATGTATGTAAAGCAGCTAGGGTAGGGCTTTCCCTGTGGCTGGTACTCGATAAACACAACCATTCTTTCCCACCTGTGCCCACAGATGAAAGGGCCTAGGATGCCCATAAATTCCTCTATCATATGCAATTGGTGGGTCAGGCCACCCCACAGCCCACAGGAACCAGGCCCAACCCAGTCCAGCAGTCTCTCTGACTCGGCACCCAAGGAGTCACATGGTCCCATGTCCCCCCAAAGTACATATTTTCCAGTCCTGTGGGTGCTCTTGGGCACATTTCACAACTCAGTCAGGACAAGTGAGGGAATGGAGAAGTAATATAAAGGCCCAGATAGCTAACCACACACGACCTGGCTTTCACATCACCTGTCTACACCTGGCTACTGTGAAATCAGTAATCCCCTACGTCCAAGTGTTGGCATTCGTGTTCACATAGCAAGTTGAGCTCGGCAAAGTCGAGGCCAGGCTGGCCACTCTCTTCAGGTTCACAGGGATGGGTGCCTGAGACGCATGACTGTTTCACAGGAGTGCAGCCGCCTTTTATCGGCTCCATCACCAGTTTCCTCCAGCTCGAGCTTTTATGTAAGATCAATTTAATGAAAACTCTTCTCTCTACGTGCCAGATACATTTTCTAACAAACTCCCAGATAGAGGAAGACAGTTTAATAATATTTTGACTATTCTGTTCCCCTAGAATTTACTAGTCAGACATAATTGGTGGAGGTTTGAGGTCAGAATTGATAAAAGCTTAGAAAAAGCTGTTGTTATATCTGGCCGGAAAGTCTATTTCCTGGGGAACCCTCTGCAGTATCACTGCGGAAACGAAGAAAGAAATTTTGCATTTGTTTCATCACTTTTATCATCTCCACTTTCACACTTTAAATGGCATTCTCTGGGCAAAGTTTGAGAATGATTATACACCCAGCAAAGCACAGCATTTTAAAATATCACTAGCCAATTAGTTTTTCATTTTTGGAAACAAAAACTCTAGACCATGTGGACTTATTCTGGCCCGGAGTATTGACTCTGCTTACTATTCACATTTGGAATGATATGATTAGGGGGAAAAGTGGAGTTCAGATATTTCTAATTCCTTGTCTAACCTCAGAGATCCAAGGATCAAATAGCATTCCACTCACAGTTCCTTTCAGAGAAGCACATGGTGTGCACACAAATTAACTGCCTTTTGTCAAGGAAGATGGAGAACTGGAAAGCTTAAGTGAAAAGAAAATCTTGAAAAGTTATCAAAGCAGCTCCATAAAATGTACTTCAGTGAGGGCTGTCTGAAGTTCAGAGCCTCAAAAACGAAAACAAAAATCCACCTCCTTAAACAAAGAAAAAGATGCCTGGAGGTGGTAAATGGGGCTCAGAATCCCAGTAGATCCAAGAGCAGCCTTGGGCTTGGCAGTCAGGAACAGTGAAATGTGAAATTTGGGGCTGGTCTTTGCTCACGGTTTTGTGTGTGTGTTTTTTTTAACAAGAAGAATCTCAGCATCACTAGTGTCCGCCAATGACAGGAAGAGACACCTCTTTCACATGTCGGGCCACGGTGGCAGTTCCAGATTCTTCAGATTCTAGGGAGCACTCGGATTGGAGTCCACTAAGACCACTAAGAGCTGAAAAACACCTGCAGAGAACAGCCCCTGCCAAGAGACTTACTCAGAACCTGTGGTGTCAGATCTAATTAACTACAAGTACAGTCAGTGTCCTTCACGGAACACAAGGTGAGACCAGCCATGTCCTCATCGATCTCTCATCTCATCCAAGTGATGGAGTATCTGTTTGCTGGACCTCTCGTCAGATACACTCTAACTCTTCTAATCAAATGCAGAACACTGCCTACAGAACCAGGTGAGGAATGAGGAGGCTCCGAATCCAGTATTGACTGCTTGTACCCGCTGTGCTGTCACCAAGAAAGCAGTTAGGGGCAGATTAAGCTCCTGGCATCTGCGACAACTGCCAGCAGTGTTTGGGGCCACTGAATGACGTAATTATTCTTTTTAAAATTTTGTGGAAATTTTCAAACATATACAAAGTATGGAGAAGAATATAAAGACTTATGTGCTCACCATCCATGACAGTTCAACAATTACCTGCCCTGGCCACGCTTGTCTCATTTACCTCCCTGCATCCGACCCCACAGCCAGAGGTTTTATTTTTTAGGTAAATCCCAGACCATATCATTTCATCCATGAATATTCAGTATTTATCCCTAGAAGATAAGGATTTCTAAAAACCATAACCAGCCTTCTACTGTCTCACCAAAAATAATTTAATATCATCAAACAGCCAACAATCTGAGCATTCTTAATGGATGTCAAAAGCTATTAACATTTCTTTGAGTTTATATCTTTATACTACTACTAAGCTACATGAAAAAAACGGATACTTAAACCTAAAAAATATGGCACACACACAAAAAGGACAAGAATGCTTGTGGTAGTGTCGTCATGGCAACAAACTGTAACCAGCCAACATCCGTCAAGAGAAGAGAAGATAAATAAATTGGGATATATTCATCAGCAGTGAAAATGAACAAACCAGAACTCCACATGACAACATGGGTACGTCTCAGAAACAAGCCAAAGTGTAGGAGGACACAGATGGTATAGTTCCATTTATAAAAAGACAAAATTCAACAATATGTTGTTTAGCGCTACCGACTGGGAGGAAGGAGTTAAAGCAGCTGGCCGGTGATCCCTCCACTCCTTTTGTAGGAGTGATGCTTCTGGGGAAAGAGAGAAGACACTGACCCCATCCAATCTTTCATAAATATGCTAATAACTAGACTACCTAATAAACAGTCTGATGACAGTTGCTAAAATGAGAGCTCTTGTGTCTAGAATGCCCTCAGCAGGTTAGGATCAGCTAAAGATTACCTACATGAAATACACACAGAATTTATGAGTTTATAAGCCATGACCCTCTGGGCTGTGTAGCAGAGATGCTTCTTAACTGAATTCTGCCTGCTGGGTGAGGTGCCCTGTGAACCACACCTGGAGACCTTGTCTATTGTTCTGGGTCAGAAAGCACATGTCTGATGGACAAAAAGGAAGACCTGGGAGTCACAAGGGATGTCTCAGATCTCTCCCTGCTTCTCCGGCACCTCTATATTCTGAAAATTATTAGCCTAGGGAGATTAGTGTAGCTCTGCTATAGATAGCAAGAGCTCAGATTTTTCAACTCCTCTTTAAGAATCTGATGCTCTGTGTTAGCTGACAGAGTGAGACATTTGCAGGTAAAATTACCTTCTTTTAAAAAAAAAAGAGAATTATGTTAGGGGTTAGTAGGATGACACCAAAGAGGGCTACCAAGGACACTTCCAAGTCACTGGTAATATTCTAGTTCTGAAATGTTTGAGTGTATTAGTTAAGGTTCTCCAGAAAAACAGAAAAAAATAGGATATACATGGAGATTTAGTATAAGGAACCTGCTCACATGATTATGGAGGTAGAGAAGTCCCCATATCTGCAGTGCAAAGGCCTGGGAACCAAGAGGGTCAATGCTGTTAGTTCCAGTAGGAGGTCAAAGGTAACAGGCAACCTACATCCCAGCTCATTTGCATCAGGTAGAGAGTGAATTCTCTCTTGCTTTTGCCTTCTGTTCTATTCAGGCCTTCAACAGACAGGATGAGGCCCACCCACATGGGGGAGGGCAACCTTCTTTACTCAGCCTACCTACCCATCTGAATGCTACCCTCATCCCAAAACACCCGAACAGACACAGAATAACGTTTGATCAAATATCTGGGCACCCCGTGGCCCAGTCAAGGTGACACATAAAATTAAGCATCACACTGGGTGTTTGTTCTGTGTTCGTTAAGACACACACATGCTACGTTTGTGAATGACATGTACTCAGTGCTAAAATGTTACACAAATGCCATTCGACAAAAGGAAGATGGTGAATACAGAACATCTTTTGAAAAGTCAGGCCTGAATGGAAAAAGGCAGATGGGGAGGGAGCGGGAGAGTCAGGCAGGCTGGGAGAAAGAGAGCCCGGGAAGAGGAAGTAATCTCTGGGGTGGGTGTGCCGGCTGGGAAATGCACCCGCATCAGTGCGATCTTCTGGTGAACACTGACCACACAGAACCCACGCTGTGACCATAGAAGCCGCTGGCTGAGCAGAGTCTTGAGGGCCGGAGTTCTGAGCAGGTGGGAGGGGGAGGAAGGGAGGTCTGTGTACTGGGAAAAGTCCTTCTTCCACCTTCTTGGAAACCAAGTATCTTTAGTCCCTGCCTTCTCCTCCTTTAGTATTCTTACTTCATTCTTTCTTTATCATCCCTTTTAGGGGCCATAAGAACATACCCCTCTGCCACCCACTGGCTTCCCGATGCCACGTGCCAGTGATAATGAAACACAGAAGTGTGAGCAGGTAACTGGGTAAGTGAGGCTTGGTTAGAGGAGATGCCCGGAGCAGGGGCACAGAGCGCTGGCCAGCCGTGGGGAGCTTGACTCTCTGCCAGCAAGTATCTCTGGTTCAGTTTCCACTGACTTCGCCTGAGATCGTAACAAGAATAATTCTGCTTGTCGCTTATTATGACAGCAACTTTTAGGAAACAGTCTCTCCATTTCTACCCAGTGAAGATCACAATGGAGCCATTCAGCTGAGAAATATCCTTCCTCGGACTCCCACTGTGCACAAACATTTATGAATAAAGCTGTTCGTCATACCAGCATTTATAACTGCAAAAACTCGGAAGTAATCTAAATCCAAACAAACAGGCACTGGTCATGTATGTTATAGTACTTTCATACAGACAGGGTATTATGTTTCTAATACAATGACATTCTTGAAGAAGATTCAGTGACAAAAGAACATGGTTCCAATACATTTCTAGTAAAGATTCAGTTCGCAACGCTGTGTATAGACTATTATCCCCAGAGTTAAGAACATACGCCTGCATATACAAAAAAACCTAGAAAAGTAGACCAGAATGTTAACCATGGTTAGTAAGAAAGTCATGGATGGTTTCTTTTTCTTACACTTTCTGGTATTTTCCAAATCTTCTTCAATGAGTACACATTTTTCACAAATAAAAAAACACCAGGAGGAGGCGAGAGAGAAGGCAGAAGAACGTGAAAAGTTGTTTAGTGTCTTTAAGAGCACTTTTTCTCTGCATTTTCATTTTGGACTGGATCCTACAAATTATACAGAGCGCTGCCTGAGGTTCTGCCCCCATGAAGGATAAAGAACACCATCTCTGCAGCTCCCTCCCTCCCCCCTCAGAAGGCACGTGTGACACAGACTGCTGGGCCCGCCCTTGGAGTTGCTAGTTCCGCAGGTCTGGGGTGGAGCCTGAGAACTTGCATTTTTTGGAAGTTCCCAGGTTTTGTGAATGCTGCCACCCCACATGCAGAACCACTGATCTAGAGTATGTTCACCTCTGCCTCTGACGTTGGTCCAAGCTGTAGGACACCTTACAAAAGGCAGATCCTGTTACCTCATAAATGTTCAACTGCTCCACCAAGTCCAGGTCAGTCCCTTTCTTGCTCAAGTGCCGCTGGGACACAGCCGCGATGCCCAGCTCCTCCAGGCAGTCCACCACGTCGTAGAAGGTGTCTTGGTCTGGCAATCCTGACAAGGTCTGGATGAAGAAAGAACAGGACACAGACATGTCTTAGGGGTTGTCCCAAGGCTCTCAAGGCATTGTTTGCATGGTAGCCAGTGGCCACGATTATAACAACATGCGATGAAACAAGACAGATGACAAGTTCACTTGAGAAAGGACTACTTTAGAGTGTTGAGCAGGAGCAGGATGCACCCCAAGATCCCACCCCCTGTGATTCAGGTGCTGCACGGTCCCCTCCCATCGAGTGTAGGCAGGACAGGCCCACGATTAGGTGATGTTATATGGCAAAACTGAAAGGAATCTGCAGATGTTATTAAGGGCCCAAATCAGTTGATTCTGAGTTGTCAAACGGGGAGCTTTGTGGGTGGGCCTGACCTAATCAGGTGAGCCATTTAACAGTGGATTTCGGTTTACGACTTTTCTGAGCTCAGAGACTAGGAGAGAGAGGATCCTACCAGCCCTGAAGGAGCAGCACGCCACCATGAGTTCTACAGCTGCAAGAGAGTGAGTTCTGCCAACCACAGAAGCTTGGAAGGGAATCCTAAGCTTTAGACGGGACACCAGCCCTGCTCGACACTTTGCAGCCTTGCTCTCAGAGACACTGAGCAGAGGACCCTGCAAGGCGGTGCCAGGACCCTGCCCCATGGAAACTCTGCGATGCTAAGTCTGAGATGTTTCAAACTGCTCAGTGTGTGGCATTTGCTGCACAGCAGTCAAAAACTAACATACTCAGCAATCAGAAACTCCTCTTAAGATCAATCCACCAACAGCTGGAGTTATGACAACTGAATGATTCCCTTTTCCTTCAATTTAGTCGGCCTTGCCCTCAGTTTAGAACATTTAGGAAAACATGAGAAGTTTCAAAGCAGCAACCAAGAGACCAAAAGATAACCCCAGAAAGAAAAAGCCAACTTCTCTTTGAATTTGGCTTCTCTTAAAAGAGGGATGGTATCTCAAGCCAGGCTTCTGCTTAGAACTGGAAGGACCCTTGAGGTGACTTCCTCTGAGCCTCTTATCTTATAAATGAGGGTGATGAAGGCGGAGGAGGGGAGGAATGGTCATTTTCAGGGTGAAAATACAGGCCTGAGCCACACCCGCGTCCCACCACCTCTCCCACGTGGCGGCAGGGATGCTGGTCTGCCACCAAAGCAAATACACACGAGGAGGGGGGTCTGCAGCCCAGAGACACACACTCACCTATTTTCAGCTAATTCTCCAACATGTTCAGCTAACACTGCCACCCCTCCTGGGCCCTGCCCTCCTATTTCAGCCCCGACCCTCACTGCTACTTCTGCCAAAGGAGGCATCCACTCCAGGAAAGTCTGAGAGGCAAATGTCTCTGGATGTCCTTACTCTCAGAAGACACTCAGGACCTCCTCCTTGGTCTCTCTCAGGCGTGGTCTAGCCAGGCCTTGTGACAAGTACATCTTGACAGCCTCTCTCAGGGGGAGAAATCTCTGTCCTAAAGGACATTTTATTTTCCTCTCCCCGGGTTTTCACTGATTTCATCGAATCTTTCCTGTAGGATAAAACCAGCGTGGTGGGAGCCTGCACACAAATGTTCACAGCAGCACTAGTTGTGAAAGCCAAAAGCAGCGAACACCCAAAGCTCCTCCAATGGGTGCATTTAGACACTGGAACACTACACAGCGGCAGAAAGGAGCGAACTATTAATACACGGAGTAACAGAGATGTTCGCAAAGGCACGGTGCTGAGTGAGGGAAGCCGGCCTGAAAGGGTTACTTCGTGGATGGTTCCCATTTTTGAAATGACAAAACTACAGCGATGGTTGTCAGGGGTATGAATAGGGGCTCAGGTTGTCACTATAAAAGGATAGCGTACCAGGGAAAAGGGTGGGAAGGGATAAATTTGGGAGTTTGAGATTTACAAATGTTAGCCACTATAACAAAAATAGATTTTAAAAGTTTCTGCTGTACAGCACAGGGAACTATGCTCAATAGCTTACAATAACCTTTAATGAGAAAAAAATGAAAACGAATGTATGTATATGCATGGCTGGGACATTGTGCTGCACACCAGAAATTGACACATTGTATCTGACAGTACTTCAGTTAGAAAAAAAAGAAAGGATAACATGAGGAGATTTGGGGGGAGATGGAGCTGTTCTATATCCTAATTGTGAAGGCTACCCATAACCATATATGTGTTAAAACTTACACAGCTAAACATCAAAAGAAAAAAGTCAATTTTACTGTACAGTGATTAAACAAAGCAATAAAATGAAAATCTGAAAGCAAATACTCAGTGGGAATCCCATCCGGGTTACTCACCCCCCTGACTCTGCTGGAGTAGCTCCCCTCCCCGAGCTCCTGGGGTGGGAGGTGGTCCTTCCCCAAATGCTCCAAGCCAGCCCCGTAGTTACTTATCACTTGCCCCCTCCCCGACCTGCCTCATCTGATTCTACAAGGTGGTCAGTATGTGAGGCCCCCAAAGTGGGGCATGCCCACTAAGGAGTTTCCAGCTGGATGAAGACAGGTGGGACATGGTGAGTTTCTGATGCTCCCTGGCATCTTCTGACAATTGAACATGGGCTGCAGGAGCAGGAGAGTTGGGGGGATAAATGTGGGTCTTGGAAACCCCTCATTAAGGTCCCTGTTTAACAAAGAGAGCAGACTTCAGTCTCAGAACCATGAGCAGGGCTAGAATTCAGTACCCTCGTTTTGTCACAAAAACATTATTTTTTAAAATTCCATGTCACTAGCCTATCTTCTATTCTGTTGAGACATAAGTTAGAAAAGCAATGTAATTGTCCGGATTTCAGAGGCTGAAATTTTTTTCCAGACTCCCATTAGCATTTCAGTGTATCACGTTGCTTGGGATCTCAGAAGATTTTACTCAGTGACTAAACATGACTGAAATTCAACAAAAGAAAACCCAGTGTGGGTGCCAGTGGCCTGCTGCCCTTTATGACGAAAGGATGACATTTGGAGTAATGTCCTCGGGACCTCCCTGGACTTCCCCTGGGCCAGAACTCACAAAAGATGAAACAGAACTGCTAGATAAGAAAGAGTGAGCGAGGAATTCCTGGACGTTGGGTGCCATGTGGTGCCAAGGAGAGCGTGACACGCACTGGGTCCTCGCCAGTGACTGGCAGCAGAATGCCCAGGCCGTGTGGACGCTGCTGGGGTCGTCAGAACAGCCCGGCACGGCCTCTACCACCAAGACAGATAGCATTACGATGAAAACACTGCGCAAGAGTGAGAATCCCATTTTTGCTGAGTTCAGTGTTTTCCAAAACAATGCCAGTGACTGAAAATGACACGAAATTGATGACCTTCATCTTAAAAAAACCAACAGAAAATAGCTTTAAAATTGCCTGGTGGAGTCAACTCACAAGCAGATTTGAAAATGAAACCAGAATTCTTAGGATTATCCTACAGAAAAGTGGTGCCCGTTCCCCAACAGGACTGCAGGAAATTTCCTGTGACTTTTCCAACAAATAGCATTTCATTAAAAAGCAATCAATGCCAACGTGACCCAGAGGAAATGGCCCGTTGTTTTACTGTATATTTCTTTTCATCTTAGGAGGGTTAATGTCATTCATTTTTTGACTGGGTCATTTTTGGCTGGGTTCTTAATATTGTTAAAATAGTATCACCTTCTGCCCAGTTTTTTTGCAAACAATTTCCTAGTTTGTCACTTGCCTTTAGTTTTTACTCGTGGTTTCCATTTTACAAATAAGATCTTATTTTATAGTTTTATATGGTGAAATATTTAAGTCCTTGGCTTCAGAATCTTTTTCACTGGTTTTATTATTAAAATACCCTTCAATGACCAGAGATCAATTCATCTTCATCTCTAGTTTCTTCTCATTTTTCTACAGTTTCATATGTTACATTGAACTCTTTATCTGAAATGTACTTTGGCATATGGTCAAAGCATGTTTTTGTTTATTTCCATTTAGCAAAA